GAAAACCTGAAACTGAAAAGATGTGTGTAAATGTTATGATTTAAAAAGCATTTTTTGAGATTGGGATGAAATGTTATATTTTTATTATAAACATAATTCAATCATTTATATAAAGCATAAAATTTAATAAATATTAACATATTCGTTTGACAAAATTAACATCTGCACTGGACAAAATGCCTTGTATGATTAAATTGAACAAGAAAAAATATTTATCCTAAAACATTAAATAAATGATGTCGAAAGCAAAAATTTTACTTTACTTTCTCAAGCATCAACATATTGTTACAACACCAAATTTTATATATATATATATATATATATATATATATATATATATATATATATTTATATTTAGCATTTAAAGCTACATGTAGTTTATTTAACAGTATTTCTGACGGCTTCTGAAGTTCTGAAATGTGACCTACACCATGGTGATTTTTTTTCTCTCTCAACAGTGGAATTTACTCAAGTCCAAGTTATTGTTCTAAAAAAAATATAATATAGTGCTTATAATTCACTCAAATGTTGAACTTGGTTTTCAGGTTGTGGAGATGATGAAGATGAACCAGTATCCGCTGTTCTCCTGCTACCTGGTGCTTATTGCTGTTTCTTTGGTTTTCATATTGCTCTATTATCTGTCCCTCAAATTCATTAAACAGAAATCCAGTCAGGACTGGTGAGGGAGCGATATATTCTGGTCCATATTGGAGCTTGTTTTTGCCAAGCAGCTGTAAAGTTCCCAACTATAGATCTTGGAAAACAAATCTGTTTGTTTAGGCTAGTTTGCAACAAGAACCATATATCTGTTTCCAGTTTATTCAGTGCACTGATGCATATTCAGTTTATTCCTTCTCTTGTTTTCACTTGATTTAGTAGTTTGAAAGCTTACTAAAAACAGTGATCAAATCGTGAGCTTTGTTGTACTTCCACTCTCTGCCGCTGGATGGCAGAAGTGTACTATGTTTTTTCAATCTTTAAAGGGATAGTTCACCCAAAAATAGGACTTTCCTTATCATTTAAACACATAAGGTATGGATTTCTTTCTTCTGTTGAACACGAAACAATATAAGAAACTCAAACAGGTTTGAAACAAATGAAAGATGAGTAAATGATGACAGGATTTTTATTTTTGGGTCAACTATCCCTATAATAGTTGTAAATAATAGTTGTTTTTGTTTGTTTTATTTTATTTTTTGTTAAATCACTTGAGATCATGCTTGCTAGATACATTTAATAACATTTATTGCATCTCTTTAGTGTAATTTTATTTAATTTCATTTTTTACTCCTGTAAAGCATGTATGTATGTGTATATATAATATTATTATATATATATATATATATATATATATATATATATATATATATATATATATATATATATATATATATATATATATATATATATATATATATATATTTTAAGTGTAGAAACTTGGCTTGTTAGAAAACTGCGCTGGTGCCACCTTCTGATCAACATGTCCAGATTTTGGCTTATGGATTTATCTCTCATGATGCATGTTCAATTCCACATGTATGTCATATTTAATAAACTGTTTAATCTTGAACAGATTAATCACATTTGAATCTTTGAAAGTAAGAAATAAAATGATTGAAAAGCTACTGATCTGAAGCTACAAACGTTACTTTTATTGAGCAATAAATAAATAGCCCAGAGTCAATGACACAGGGACAAATTTACACTGGAAAAATTCCAGTCTTACTCAGGGACATTTCATTTGTTTGGTCTCCAATAGTCATCATTTTGCTATAAAAAAATAAAATAAAATAAAGCCAATTTTAGTTTCAGCAATACAACTTTTCCATTTATCTGCATATATACTGTTGATGGAAGTTGTATTTCTGCATATAAATGCATTGGTAATAATTATATGATATTAAAAGTGTTAATCATAAAGGTGATTTATTATAAGCAATAACAATAATGTTATTGTATCCCAGTTATAATGTACTCAGAATTGTTTTACCTAAACACTGACCTTTCAATCTATTACCTTTCATCATATCTCATCATTTTAATGTTTTGTGTTACTCAATGTATTTCATGAAAAAATTCAAAAGTAGCTTTAGAGCATTTCATAAATTCTCATCTAATAGCTAATTATGACTTAGTGTCTCATTCATTCATTCATTCATTCATTCATTTTCTTTTCGGCTATGTCCCTTTATTAATCTGGGTTCACCACAGCAGAATGAACCGCCAACCTATCCAGCACGTTTTTTTTTATGCAGCGGATGCCCTTCCCATCTCTGCATGGGAAAACTTAGTGTCTCATCATTTTTAATTTCAATTGTATAATAATTATTAACTAATATTACGGACATATTACAAACTCATCAACAACCTATATTCATTTCAACTCATCAATATATCTTATCATCTCAACATTATCTGATTCATTTCGACTTTTCTTTTTTTTATCTCATAATTGATCCATCTAATATAGATTATGAGAATGTAATACAATAATGCAGTTAACCTCGTCAATTTAACATTTGATTAATTTTTGATAAATAATTTAAACTTTTAAACTTTAGTATCTCCTCTATTTTATTTGTTTTAATCTTGAAACTTCAGTTTGACTTTATCTCATAACTTTTTTCCCACTTATGCAGCAGTAAATAATGCTCTTTAGCATTTGTTTTATAATCCTCTAGTTTTATAGTTTAGCCGACTTTGACATTCTAGCTATTTACTTCAATTCAATTTGTTTATTGTCTTGTGCACAGTAAGGAAACACGTTTCCGTGTGCAATGAAATTCTTGCTTTGCCGTCCACAGTGAAGTCATACACATAGCGTGCACATCATACACATAAATACAAAGAAGTATAATTATGAAATGTAAATATTTAAATATCTATGATTGGGTCAAGTCTGTCAGTACATGAAATGGTAGGCTATTATGTACACTTAGAATGTGTGAAAAAGAACAATAATACTTGTTAAATTGAGGAAATCTAAAGGGAACATGCTGTTTACTTTTTAGAAGTTTTAAAGTTTGTTTTGTAACGGCAGGTCCTTAAAGACATATAATGCCAAACGGTTTAGATTTCATCATTTATACCCAGTTTTAAAACGTAATGACTCTAATAAGAGCTCTTGAAAGAAGACGTCTCCCTCTAAGCAATCTCAGCTTTCTCTCTGGCGTCTGTCTCTCCTGAGCTTCCCGGTTCAGCCCTTCACCTCCCTCTGACACACGCACGTGCAGGAGAATGAGCAAAACACATTCAAATATGCAGGAATTTACATGGCATTGCTGTATAAAACATAATGAACGAAAAAAAGAAAGAGTAATCATAATTCTTATTGTAATATATTTTAACTCGAAGTTCATTCATTAAAGCACCCTGGGCAAAAAAACAAAACAACGATAAAAAAATTAAAAAAATATTCTAATGAGACAAATATTAGAATGAGTTCTAAAGAATAATGTGAGCCTTAAAACTAATGATGGTGAAAATTCACTTTGTTGACATTACATATTACAATATAGAAAATGGTTATTTGAACACTTCTGCATCCTTGTGGACATTTCAGATCATCTTAGCTGCGTTAATGCAACAAAAAAATACACTTAGGATAAAAAATTCCCAGTTGAAACATTTATTACCCATTATACGATATTATACAATATTTAATTCTTTAAAGCATTAAAGTCTTACATTCATTGTTAACAGGCTTACATTTGGTTGAAGGCTTCAAAATTTTTACTTGAATAAAATAATAAACATTTTACAATTTTATAAATTTGTGTCAATTATGGAACGTGGCGTAACATTTTACCCCTTTTTGTTTTCCATTGTTTCAGGTATGGTACAGCATTCAAAACGACTTGATTATTACACCAGAATTAAGTATAGTTCATATCAACCTAGAAAATAATAGCTTTTTATTTTTCACCCGTCTCACATGATGTTAAAGTCGAAAAGTTTCTACAGTTAATGTAGAAGTGAAAACTCTTGGATTTTTTATTTTTTTGTGCGCGATGCTAATGGTCTAATCTGATTCAATGATTTATGCTAAGCTAAGTTAGAAGCGCTCCCGCCAGTCCCAGAGATTGGTCAAATTGATAAAAAAAGCAACAGTTCAACTAGGGGCCTTTTTTATTTTTTAAGTTGAGTGTTGCTAAGATGTTAATTTTATTTTTCTGAATTGTGGGGACATCCGGTTTTGGCTGTTTTTAAACTATACAAACTATAATTTTCTATGAGACTACCATAACTCTAGTCTCTACCCCTAAAAGCCTCAAAGCAAACTGTACATTTTTACTTTCTGAAGAAAAAACAAAACTAATTCTGTATGATTTATAAGCCGTTATGGGGACATGGACAATGTCCTACAAAGTCACCTTCAACTAATAATACCGGCGTCATACCCATGCTACATTTGTTCCAAAAAATGCACATTTCTCACACAAACACTACCAAAGCTGGTTTGGGAAGCCATTTTTTGAAACATACTTACTGTTGTCTTCAATAGAAAATTGATCATGCTCCATAACATTGCTGGTATTAAAGTATTAAGTACTTAAAAAGTATGCAGGGACTATATCTTGTTCTGAAAGAGGTCAACGGTCAGCACGCTAGTGAAGACACCCCAGTAGAAAAGCCGTTTCTCCCATAGTCATAGTGAATCAGTTGTGTGCAGGTCGGTTCACCTCCACTGGATGGCAGCAATGTTCCGTTTCATTTCCTCACAAACTTTAGTTCAGTTTGCCAAGAGATTTCACTCTACTGTGGTAAATATCCCTAAAAAGTTTCTCTTTGTTTCAGTCTAAATGCTTATTTATTTAAATGTGTAGAAGATTTCATCATTTATCAAAGTGTGCCGAAAAGCCAAAATCCTTTAAAACATTCGCAAGATGCCCAGAAATACATCTGTGCCAGATAATGTATGTTTTGCCACTTAATCTTAATCCTGATAAATCTACTGTTTCCAAGAAAGAAAAAAAAAAAAACAGAAAGCAGGATGCATGTCAGTTGATCCAGGATTGTTCCAATGAGATATTTATTATATAGCATTTACAGTATATTCCTACACAACCGAGTCTAAGCCTAATGTACTGGTGAAGAATATCGAACAATCTTCCATAATCTCTCATATCATGCATCCAATATCGACATATTCCCATACAAGCCAAAACCAGCATTTGCAGAGAATCATTCTTATTGAGCGACACTCAATTTAGAACAAAATAAACCAAATATAAAAAAAGAAAGAAAAAATAAAGATTTAAAACAACCACTAAGGTTTTGGGTTTGCATTTATTTGCATAAATATTAACTGTATGTACATGTTAACCATATCATGACATTACGAAGAGCAAAAACAAAATCACAGTAGAACACGCTGCTCACATCTGCTGCATATAAAAAAATGAATGAATGGATGAAGGAAGGAAGGAAGATGTTTTTAGTTGTCAATGGATGCTGTGGACTGAGTTCGCTGATCCTTCAGTTTGTCTGCGTAGAAACGAAAAGACTCCTGCGGGAAAACAAACAAATAAAACATGTTTACAGAGCAGAACAATTCTTGATAAAACCACATTTTTTTGATTTGATGATGCTTTTTACTTTATTACGGGATAAAAAAATAAGCAGTTTTAAAGAATCTCTTGGACAAGATATTCAGTGATTGTTGCATTTTTTTATCTCACAAAAAAATGTTAATTCTGTCATCTTTACTCTCCCTCCACTTGTTCCTAAACCGTCTGAGTTTATTTTTTCTGTTGGACACAAACGACATTCTGAACAATGTTGGGAAAAAAAGCCACAGACTTTCCAAATATTTTTTGTTCCAGATATAGATGTCAATGGCTGCAAAAATTAGAGTTTAGAACCACTTGAGTGAGAATAAATGAGAAAATATAATTTTTTTGGTGAACTCCCATTATTGGTTGATTTTTGCCAGCTAGTGGTGTAACAATGTAATTGCTACAATCTTCATATCTAGCATTAAGTTGCTTTCAAACTATGATTACTTTATTTTGATCACTACAAAAAAATACTGGTTATAGAGACTTAAATGAAACTGACTCATAAGCATACTTGGCGAATGATCTCTCTGGGTTAAACACAGATCTCTCAGGGAAAAACACAGTGTACTACTGTGTTTTTTAAAAAAATAAATAAACTTTAAGTTTGGGAAATGTGATATTAAAAAAAAATATGTGTTCTGAGTTAATCACCAGTGGTGTAAATACTCAAATTACTGTTATTGAGTAGTTTTTCTCAGGAATTGTAATTTACTAAGTACTTTTAAAAATGTGGACTTTTACTTTGCCTTGAGGACATTTTTAGTGCTGTATCGGTACTTTTACGCCACTATTTCATCCTGCAGTCACTACTTTATTTTTTCTTGTCAAAGGAGATTAGAAAAATCAGTCCTGCGAGTCCAATCAAATCTCACATAGAAGGTAAAATCACATCATAATGAAAGACCTCAAGACGTGGAAGCATTAAAAGTGTCCAAGAAGATGTCCAAAATTTTAACACGCATTGACACGCATCGACCCAGAGACTGTTTAGATGCGTGTCACTGATGAGAAGATGATGGATGTTTATTGTATGATGACTGAAAAGGCCTTAAACACCCAGCAGGCACAAGACGTCAACATGACGTCATATTGACATTGTAACGTCATGGGGACGATACATTTTGTTTGGAAATGAAAATCAGGTTGTCGTCAGAACTCAACGTCAGGCCAACCTCAATAAAGCTAAAACCAACCAAATATCAACATCTAATGGTGTTACAGCTTGACGTTGTGTGAACGTTACCACTGTGACGTCTATCAGAAGTTGGATTTTGGTTGCCATAACTGATGAATAAATGTCAGTATTTGACAATGTCTGTATGATGTTGGTTTAAAAATTTTGGTCATTTTACAACACCTAAAATCAATCAAATATCAACGTCAATTGACATTGTTATTGTACATCAAAATAAGGTTATCCTTAGACGCTGGCTAGACATTGAAATTTGGTCACCTAACATCACAACCTTATCTAACTAAATAATAACGTCTTATGACGTTGTGTACCTGCTCGGCAATGACTAAATGCTCTACAGAATGTTACGTTTACACACACACAAACAGACAAATTACCTGTAAATGCATCAGCTTCTTACAGCGTAATACTCACTACTCACTATTCTAGTGTACTTTTAAAAGGTCTACCTTTTACTCATACGTTGAGTAACATTTACAACAGACACTTTTAGTCTACTTGCACTACATTTTTGGGCAAGTAATGGTTCTTTTACTTGAGTATGATTTTTCAGTACTCTTTCCACCACTGCTAGTCACACAACAGAATAACACTTCATTAACCACCCAGCCTAATTTAAATGATAAAAGATAGCAGTAAATACATAAAATCTAAATAAAAAAGGCCGTACTCTTTGCTCTCAATTCCTGAGGGCGTGTCTGCTAGCAAAACAAACCACGCTCAATAATTGGAAAGCAGCTATCAAGTACAGCCACAACCTGAACTTTAATCATAAGGTAAACACAAAACAAAAGTTTCCATCTGGAGATCCTTCACGGGACTCGAGACTTGTAAACACTCGCTCCTATGGGTTCGTGCAGCTCTCTTTCTTGCCCACACTCGTTAGCGCTACCAAGCAGACCAATCACAGAGCTTGCGAAACACATCGTGCGACAATTTAGTTCAATTTTTTTGAAAGGCGTGCGTCAGCGTCGGTGAGGGCTATGCGACTGCGAAAGGGATATGTGACCGTGCGAGGGCTATGCCACCTTGGGAAGTCTGCGTCGGAGCATTCACGTGCGCTTGACGCAAAAGTATAAATCAGCCTTTAGGTCCACACTGAGACTGCATTTTCAGGAAATGAAAATGCAGTCTAAAGTGGAGGAATTTCAAAGCGCTGTTTTCCTGTTGACAGAAAACGGAGGTTTTCGAAAACAATGACGCAATTTAGTCATGTGACCAATTCAGCTAACCTGGTGGATAACATTGTACAGCAATGGATGCTGGATGTTGTCCGTTTTGATATCTTTATTAAAGATTAATGTCTGTACATGCTCTATACTGCCTCTCTTTAAAGGACAGAAAATGTTTACAGGGAGTTGTTGTTCAGTGGCAGAAACAGACGACAGTTACATGCAGTGGACATTTTGTGTGAATCCTAACTGTGCGTTCACACCGAAAGCGGCCAGAGCGAACTGGCGACAACGCTGTCTGTCTTCAGCTCCGGCGGCGAGAGCGTCAAAACTGGCTACATTGATCTCGTATTTAAAGGAGCTGTTGCAGCATATCAGTTACATTCCTGCATTAAACATGTTTCTACAGTGAAAATGTTGCGCATTTCTTATCAAATTCATTTAACAATGGATGATCAAGTTGCGTGTGGTGTGGCTTTGCTCTATTTATCCAATATGTGTCCATATGTCTGAAATATCCTGAAGCAGCAGTACTGTTTTGTACTGTCAAGTCGCGTGAGATTCCCGCTTTTTAAAGATAAATATATAACATTAATGCGCATCAGTAACTCGCCAGTAACTTATTTAATGCATGCTCCTGTAAGAAACCATTGTAAATATTTGAAAATCCGGCGATCACAATTATCAAATCCTTTGGAAAAACTGTGGTTGGAAATAAAGTTGACAGGTCTGTGTTCTCTGAACTTCTATCAAGCGGTGGACGTCTTCATTCTGATTGCTTGCCGCAGAACCGCATCATAGCTCATTGCCATAAAGTTGACTTGACTTCAACTCTTCTCGACGCCCACATCGGTGAAGACGTGCCGCGCTGCTCCTCGCTGCTTATCGCCGCCAGCTCTCCTTAAAAATGAATGACTTCCGGCTACTTTGACGCTCTTGCCGCTTTCGGTGTGAACGTACGGTAAGACTCTTGTGTTTCTTTTAACAACAGCTCCACTTCACTGTCAGTCCATTTAAAGAACCGTGTGATTGTCCGCAACATTTTGCTGAAAGGTTTAAAAAACGGAAAGTAAATAAACGGCAGGCGATAAGGTGCAAGTAAAACAGCCTTACGTCTGTTCGCATGTGAAGCACACGAAAAAGCGTTTCAGCCGTTTTAGTATGGATGAGCAAGTTTTGGAAAGAACTGAAAACATTAGCGTGGACACGGAGCATTTTATGAATTTTTTTATCTGGATTAGTTTATTATATTTAGTGCAAACGTAGCCAAACCAGTGTCTTGGCACTGCAAAATAAAATCCTGAATATAGAGTTGTTGAAAAGCTGTTAAAAGCTGGACTCCACAATTGAGTACTACATACAGTACTCTGCATAATTGAGTACACCCCATTTAAAAAATGTATACTTGTATCCATTTCTCAGTGAATATAGACAATGTATTTTGGTGCATTTAAACAAAATAGATTTATTAAATAGAAATATGTATTAAAATAATATTTTAGTCACCAAACATATATTGAAATGGTAAGATATGAAGCTTCACAAACTAATTTCGAGAGGAGCAGGTGATATGATTGACTGCAGCTGGCCACTCATCTAAACTCATTGGCTAGCCAATCGGATTGATCCAAACTCACTATAAGTAACCTAGCTAAGAACTACTCCCTTATCTTCGTTTTCCGAAGAAACCCCCCATCCACCCCTTCTCCTCCTTTCCTCTTTTGCCGAGGGGAGCTCTCGAGAACACCTGACCTCGTACTCCCCTCACATGCTTTATGGACCTGGCGGGAGCCCTGGGCTCAACTATCTCCGAGCTCAGGGTTCTCTCCCGGGACAGCATGCCAAACCTGCTAACTTGCTAACAAGTTGTCAAACAGAATCTAAGTGTGAACTCTTGAAAATACAATTAAATTCAAGCAAAACAATAAAACAAATTTTTTCACATTTTATTTTCTTCTCTTGAGTTTTCCTCTTTTTTAAAATTTGTATTTAATATTTCTCTATAACACATACATTTGGGTGTGCTAGTTTTTGGACCATTATCATAAGTTATTTTTTTATCTCCAGATTTGGCTTCAGTACTGACTAATCTAATGTATATGCACACATATAATTTTGTAAAGCTTCCTGTTGCAGACCTCACTCTGGAGGTCTTTAAAATAAGTACAAAACAGAGAGAAACAGTTGGTCTTCCGCTGTGCTGTTCTCTTTGCTGACTTTAATCACACATGGCATATTGTATAGCTTCCTATACCACTGAACACTGTACCTCAGAGTCTTTGTAATGGGTTTCAGCAATACAGTTCTAACATTTACAACGTGTTTAGACACAATTCTTTGAATTCCCTTCATCCAGACTTGAAGTAAATCAGAAGATTTAGAAATCCAGAGATCCATCTTTTAGAGATTATATTGCACCTCTCAATTTTTCAGTAGAATTGTACTTAGAGTGAATGTTGTGTTGTTTTTCCTGTCAAAACCATTTTGTTTTTGTGTATTTTTTCCTGCCCTCAGGGCCAAACTAATAACAAGCACACGGTCCAAACAATCCACCGCTCACGTTTTATCTTACAAACCGTATTAATTCACAAATAACACATTTACTCGCTCGCCCTCCTGTAATTAAGCGGCACCGGTGCCTGTAAACATCTATTTTTGGACGGTGAGTGCTTTTAGAAGATTACCATTTCTTCAACAATGTATATTCCCTTATTAATGGGGTAATTAAAGTCGATAAATAACAGCAGCTGTGTGTGAGAAGTGAGGCCAGATGCGAGCGGCTCCTCAAATCTCTCCTTATCGCCTCTCTCAGGAGACTCTTTGTACTGTGGTATTAGCGGCGGCGGCGGGACGGAGTGCTACCTGAGATTGCTTTGTGAGGACTTGAAAGGTGCACTGAGGGGGAAGGGGTTTGTAGATGGACGACAGTTAGCTAGAACTGGCTGTTCAGAAACATGCAGTGTGTTTTTGACAGGAACTATGGTACAGTAGAAGTAGAGGAACAGCATTTCAGAAGAGCAGGTGACATGAAACTGAACTCAATTTAAGCTTCAGCTACTTTCAAAATGGTTTGTGCTCATAACATTCCATATTGTTTGCACACAGCATGTGCAGTTCATAAAGATGTTTGTGTTTTGAGTCATACTGGTCAAGTAAATGTCTAAATTAGTCTTAAAAAAAGTTTCAAGGCAAAAGTGTCCGCCAAAGGTGCAATTATTAGACATAAAAAAACTGTATTGTTACAAAAAATTACATCATAATTTCATTTAATATTGTTATATTTTTTTTAACTTCTTTCAGATTTCCACAGTTAGTTAGTTGTTTAATCTCATTTACAAGCACAATAGCATATTTAAGGCTGCTGTGTGGGCTATTTCTGTCGGTTCGCATCCCGTCCCTTTGCGCCCCCTGGTGGCTCATTCACAAACTGCGGTCATACACTAAAAACAAAGCGGCTCCTATTTCAAACGGCGGCGGTATATGACGCGGCGGTAATAGTCACTTTGAACTCTCACCTACTGTATATGCTAGTATTTGTTTTTACTTTTACTTTAAAACCTTTGAACCAGGATTCATTTATAATCACTGAACAACTATTGTAGTGTTTATTAATAGTATACATTATAAATCTATTTCTACTGTATATATTTCTACACACACACTACCTGACAAAAGTCTTATTGCCTTTTCAAGTTTTAGGAACAACAAATAATAACTTGACTAGTTGATCATTTGGTATCAAAAGTGGCTTATTTGAAAGGCCTCTTGATTACTCTTATTTTACCTAAATAAAATATGATCATGCCTTGATTTTTTATTATTTAATTAGGAAAGTAAGGTCTGACAAAAGTGTTGTCACTTAACAGAAATAATGTCCAGTATAGAATATGAAGTCATGGTGCAGTGGAAAAATAATTGATATTATGTATGACTGCCATGAGCTTGGAGGACTGCATCCATACATCTCTGCAATGACTCGAATAACTTATTAATAAAGTCATCTGAAATGGCAAAGAAAGTCTTCTTGCAGGACTCCTACTGTTCATCTAGATTTTTTGGATTCATCTTCAATGCCTCCTCCATTTTACCCCAGGCATACTCAATAATGTTCATATCTGGTGACTGTGCTGGCCAATCCTGAAGCACCTTGACCTTCTTTGATTCCGGAAACTTTGATGTGGAGGCTGAAGTACAGTATGAGAAGCAGCGCTATCCTGCTGAAGAATTTGCGCTTTTCTGTGGTTTGTAATGTAATGGGCAGCAAAAATGTCTTGATAGGCTGTTGATGTTGTTATGCACTCTGCAGATCTCTCGCACACCCCATACTGACTGTAACGCCAAACCATGATTTTTCCTTCACCAAACTTGACTGATTTCTCAGAGAATCTTGGGTCTTCTGCTGTATTTGTGATGATTGAGATGCAGTTCAACAGATGACTTATCGGAAAAATCTACCTTCTGCCACTTTTAAAAATGATCGACTAGGCAGGTAAGGGTAATTAGGCAAGTTATTGTATAATGATGGTTTGTTCTGTATCGAAAAAAAAATGCTTAAAGGGGCTAATAACTTTTACCTTAAAATGGTGTTTAAAAAATTAAAAACAGCTTTTATTCTAGCTGAAATAAAACAAATTAGACTTTCTCCAGAAGAAAAAATATTATCAGACATACTGTGAAAATTTCCTTGCTCTGTTAAACATCATTTGGGAAATATTTAAAAAAGAAAACAATTCAAAGGGTGGCTAATCATTCTAAAATCAACTGTATATATAAATATATATATATATATATATATATATATATATATATATATATATATATATATATATATATATATATATATATATATATATATATATATATATATATATATGAATGATGAAAAACAATTGTTTTTTTGTGTTTGTTAATTACTTTTGAATATTAAATATTTATTTTTGCAGTTTACCTATTCTTGTATTTTAAAAGGGCTGAAATAAAATTACTTTGATTTATTATTTATAAATTTAAAATATATCTTATTAAATGTATATGTGCTTTTTAATGTTTGTAAAAGGCATTAATACTTAATATCAATATTTTTTGACAACACTAAGATCATCAATAAATATGCATACTGAAATATTTAAAATGATACAATCTTGCGTCTGGCTTTGCTCGCACTTTTCTCAGCAGAAGGGAGATGATTAATTATTAATGATTGTAAGATTTTAACATTTGTCTTAATCAGAAATCGCACTCATTTAGCTTTTTTTGTAGTTCATTGACTTTTAGACTTATTGACTGCTGACATACCTGGTGTAAACAATATATGGTTTAGCTATGTTTTCCAATTTGAGTTCATTTGCATACTTTTAAAGTTGTGGAATTTGTTCCCTACAGTATTGAATATCAATATTTTATCATGTATTAAATATCCAGCATCGTGACAACACTATTATTCATGTATTACAATATGTTCGCATGAATAAAATAAATCACAGTAGCAAATAATTAAGTATTACATTATTTTTCTACATATTTAACAGGCTTTTAATATCTTGCAACAAACATTTTAGTGTTCAAAGTTCTCTCCCTATTTAAGTTGAGTTATACTTTATTGTTATTACTTTCAGAAAATTTGTCTTTGACTCAATGTACTTACAAGAATAACATTAATAATATTACATAACAAATGTAATATTAATATTAATAATAATGACAAGGTCATGCTCAATGTGTATTAAGTGTTAGTTGATGTGGATGATTACCGCAGGCTCTTCGAAGGGAACGGGTTCTCCAGAATCTCTGTATAGTTTAGCCAGTCTCTTGAGCGTCAACTCATCAATCCTCACCCCCTCGACCTGCATGCGCTCATACAGAGCCTTCGCTGAGGCCAGATCCTGATCCAAACCTGAGAAGAAGGGAAAAAAAAAAGCTCTGTTAAACATCCTGCACCCATCAGACCTCATCAAATAGTGATGCAGTAGAGAAGTACTGAAACGTGTCAAACTTCTCACGGTAGGCTGGATACAGAGTAGCCCCTCATTAGGGAACATGTGTTTGTATTAGCAAGCGTGCCTCCTGTGAGTTACTAAATGTGTTCTGCTTGTTGCATTTTTAATTGTCTGACTATTAAATTCATAGGTTTGCTACAGTGAAGCGGATCAAACAGGCTAATGTTCACAGTGTGTAGCATGTAGCTGTTAGCATACCGCAAGAAATGTAACATTATTTACAAGATTGTTGCCTTTAATCCAAAGAGTCTCTAAATGATCTGTGCATGTGCTGAACAATAGTGTTTGTACACACTATTCAATAGAGTATTTAATATGACTTGAAACACTGTGTGCTAACTACTAACATGCTAACATTCCAAACTAAAAGTATTATCTTTTAAATGTTTTTTTATTTATTTTATTTAATACAAGTATTCATTAGAAAGTAGGAGTTTTTGTTTTCCATACATCCTAGTACATATTGTAGCTGCAGAAGTGTTAAGCTTAAAATAGGACAAATATCCAAACTCTGTTGAATTTTTTATTTTTTTTTTGTGCGAGATGCTAATCATCTAATCCGATTTAATGAATTATGCTAAGCTAAGATAAAAGTGCTCCTACCAGTCGCAGAGATCGGCTGAACTGATTGTAAAAAAGGAAAATTCAACTGTTTACTAGGAGACTAGAGTGTTTCTTTACAATAATATACTTATGTTTGTGAATTGTGGGGACATATCTTAGGTTTTGCCTGTTTTTAAACTATTAAAACAGTATTTTTCTATCGGCCTATACCATAAATCTACCTCAAAGCCTAAGCCTCACAGCAAACTGTGCATTACTTGAGATTCCAAGGTGCATTACATAAGATTCCAAGGTATGTTATTCCCAGTTAACAACCTCTAAACAACGCAGGATCACCTGGAAACTTCAAATCACCTTGACCGTCAGTGAATATGTTCAATTCCATATATTTGCATCCACATTTATTTGTGTCTGCTTGTCACACTGTGGTGTTTTTGACTGGTTTGGGCTGTTTGTTGCTGTCTTGTGAATAAATAAAATGTAGCCACGTACTGAATGTTTTACTCAGCCAGCTTTGAGTTTTTAACTGTTTGGAGCCATCTTGTGACTGAATAATACGCAAGTTAGTGCAATGTTATACTCCATCAGCTGTTTTTGTGTTTGTCAGCTTTGCGTTAAATTACATTCAAAGACTTAATAAACTATTATGGCTCAGAACAATGTTTTGTGTCTTAGTTTTATGTTTTGTGGCAAGTAGCCATTTTTATTTGTGATAAGCAGAATAGAGCATATCCAGCCCCAGCCATACCACCTTGCAACCCGAGACCGGTTACTCACTTAAGCTAAGCAGGGCTAAGCCTGGTCAGTACCTGGATGGGACACATGGGAAAACTAAATTGTTGTTGGAAGTGGTGTTAGTGAAGCCAGCAGGGGTCACTCAACCTGCGGTCTGTATAGTGAAGGGGACACTATAGTGTCATTAGCTATGTTTCCATCCAAAAATGCGAATGAACTTTATGCGCAAAACTGGAATATCACATAAAAGATGTGCGAATAAGGCAGCATTTCCATCCAACGAGTCACAAAGAACAAAATCGCCACTTCCTGACTAACTGGTGCCAAATATCAACAATAAAAACAGAATTTGCTGCAGCAGGAGAAGCTGTGTCAATCTTTTCTTCATCTAATAAATAACTTGCAGGCAATCCTGATACGAAGTGAACACGCTGTGGCGTTTGAAGGTGTCAGACGCAGATCACAGGCGCTCTTGATTCTAGAGGTCATTAAAAACATAACACTAATACTTAAACGGTAAGGCATTTTAGAATAATCAAAACAACAGTTCAAATGGTTTACAGTGTGCTCAGCTTTCTGGTTTGTCCATTTACAAACATTTTCATCATCACATTCACTCTTATAACAAAATCACATGACCTTTTTTAATGTGTGGTTTCAAATTTGTGCGGTAAAAGTGTTTCCATCGTAGTTTATGCGCATATTTTCTTATTGAATAAAATATCTTATCCTACACTATGTTTTTTATGCGCATTTTCAAAATTTATGCTAAACATAGCTAGTGAGTGGCGTCTTTTGGATGAGCTTTTAAACTGAGGTCCTGACTGTCTGTGGTCATTAAAAATCCCATGGCACTTCTCGTAAAGAATAGGGGTGTACACCCGGTGCCGTGGCCAAATTTTCTTCATCGGCCCTTACTCATCATGGCCTCCTAATCATTCCCATTCACTGAATAGGCTCTATCACTGTCTCTCCACTCCACCAATAGCTGGTCTATGGCCATACACAATAACTGCGCTATATAAATACACATTACATTACATATCCAGGACAGTTGTTTTTTACAGAATAAAGCCCATCATTCTTATACAAATTTATTCTGGGATAACAACCTCTTGGACGTACTTTATCTCTTACATTTCAAATAAGTTTTATATTTAAATATTTAAAAAATGTAACAAAATAAAGGTAAATAATTACATAATTTAAGCCTGAATCTCACAAGATCTTTCAGAAATCATAATAATATACTGATCTGGCGACACTAAAGTGCATTTTTTACAGGATCCAAACTACAATAATATTATTTAAATACATCTTTAAATTATTTTTAATAATTGTTTTTATACATTTCTGAATTGTTAGCATAACAACTACCAACATCCTTCAGAAATCATCCAAATATGCTGATTTCATGCTCAAGAAACTATTATTAATGACTAAAATAAGTTGTACAGCTTATTATTTTTCTTTTCAGGATCAAAACTGCAATTTTATTATTTCAATTAAAATTGTATATTATGAAATATTATTTTAGTTCTATTTTTTTAAGTATCATATTAATATATTAAATGGTAAAATAAAAAAAAATATATATTATTTGTTAATTTCTCTCAAATCCCATCACCATAAATCATATGATCTGTCAGAAATCATTTTAATATGCTGATTTGATGCTATTATCAACAACTCAGAGATAAGTGGTACATCTTTGTTTTTTGTGGACACAGATTTTCCTTAAACCCTTAACTTCAAATGTTTTGTAACAACATTTATACTGCCACATTGGACCACCGATGCACAGTTCTGTACTGTAAATCCCCCTGCCAAATGGTGGTCTTACCATGGCATTTCATCAGCTGCGAATAAATATCCTCCTTCTCTCGAATGTCAGGAATCAGTTCCATAAGACTCATGACTTTAGCAGCCTGCAAAAAGACAATCAACCATCATTATTCATAAACAACTTCAAGCTATTAATTCAGTATTTATTAATTAATTCACATACTATGTCCCCATTTAGTGCAACATTCTCCTCCTCCGATCAAAACTCATGCATAAATTAAACAAAAAGCATGGACTATATAAAAACAAACAGCTTCTGTTTACCTGTCCGGGCTGCTGGGACGCTCGTAACACATAGGAGAACAGTAAGTCCTTCTGCTCGCCGACAGCCGCACAGCGCTAAAGCAATCAGAGAAACACAAGAGACCTCAAAACTCTCAACACAAACATTTATCGCATATCAAAACGCCTGAGCGTGTTCACAGTATCTGCCCTTGAGCAAAACATAACCCTTGCCATTTACTTGAATCCACACAGCAGGCAGTAAAAATACGGAGCATACAGAGGTGTGTGTGTGTACAACAGCATGACGGGAACGTGTGTTTTTGAGCGTATCCATCTTCCATTTCATCCTTTAGCACTCAGCGCAGTGCTCTATAGTTGAGGGTTAATTATACAGCTAATAGGGGAGTCAGGCAAATAACCACTTATTTCTTTATGAAAATTAAAATGTACAGTGTCCGCCCAATTTAAAGTACAATTATCTACACTTAGCCGTATAAAGGCTTTGAATTGCATCGGCGTGCTCCTGAGCTTTCAAGCGTCGGTGTGCAATTTCCACACTCTTTAATCAGGACAATATAACGCAAGTTAAACGAAGGCACGGTGAATTTCTGGAAGGGTAAACGAGGCTGTACAGAAACTGTAGGGCTCGGAGGCTCAATAACCTTGAGACCGTTTTTGTTAGAAAGGCAATGTTAGCAGGTATGAATGGATCGGGCATTTTATGGATATTCTGGCAATCTTTAAAGCAAGCAAGGACAAAACTGTACATTGGTAATTTATATCGCATGCATTTGTGGTACGGTATAATGGGCATTTTTAAAATCATGGAATATTGAAGCACTTACGATGCAAGTGAACCATTTAAGCACAGAACTGTGAAGCTCATATTATAGATAGAAGTATGAGAGAAAAATGATGGAAAAAGTACTGAAGCTTTTTATCATAGTATTCAATTACGAGTCCTTCTAACAGATTTATTCTTAAAAAATAGGCACAAGAAATTATTAACTACATTTATTAATAAGGAAATATTTATAAAAGGCAAAAAATTTGAATACTATAAAAAGTAATTTTGCGAGATATAGCATCTTTAGATAATTACGGAAAAATCTGGAATTTTAGTTCAATATTTTAAAGGCTTAGCTTTCTCAAAAATTTAAAGAGCCCCTATAATGGGTTTTTGAAAATGACCTCACATACAGCGTGCAACACAGTAGAGGTCTGCATTCCCACGGCTGTTGTGGACGAGAGAGGGCCGTCTAGCAATATCGCTCCCGACTCCCGAGCGAGCGAGCACGCTTATGTGTTAGTGAATGAGACAGTGCGATGCTGTGCTAAGCTTGTTTGTTGCTCTGTGTGTGTGTGTGAGAGTGTTTGTGTGTGCGCGCGAATGAGAGAGAGAGCTTTGTCTGTGTGTGTGTGCTTGGTGTTTATGTGTGTGTGTTTATACAGACAGGTTTTCTGTTTTGTCCCCCAAAAGCTTCACAGGTTTAGAACATCAGAGTGAGTAGACGATTTTTTAGGAATAATTTTTGGGTGGACGATTCACTCAAAATACAAATTCTTTTATCATTTACTCACCTTACACTTTTTATCAAACAAGTTTCATTCTTCAAGGCAATAGAAGATATTTGTATGTTAGTAAGAACATTAGCAACCATGCAGTTCATGGAAGCCATAGTTTTTAATAGTACCTTTTTTACAGAAGCCAATGTGTCAAGGGCTTAGAGTTGGCATGGATAGAAGGGATGCGTCTCTACTAATACCCAACAATTATTGAAATGTCCCTGCCAATAATTTAATCACCTTCAAAGTAAAGTAATGCTCCGTCAACCCTTAGTAACCTAGACATGCAGAAAGGGTTAAATCACATTTTCTTTTCAGGTCCTCCCTCCCACAAAACAAGAACAGTGTGATTAGCTAGGACTATTAATGCTGTTGAATGTGAGAAGCAGCAAAACAATAAATTTTTCCAGTTCTCCTTCACTGTAAGGTGTGGACAACTTTTCAAAGAGTCTAGTTTTTCAAGTCAAGTTCACTTGGAGTCCACCTTAACAATAATAACGAAGGCTGTGTAATAATTGAAATTCAGTTTCGATTTTGACTTTCATGATTATGAAAAATGATAATCAGGATAAAATGGTTAAATTGTGTCACATGCCACTCTAAATCTCTCTACATTCATACCTCCTCAAAGCCAGATTGGAGTTAAATCATGTAAATTGACTTTTGCAGCATGGGCTGTATTTTATTAGTTGTTTTTCATTTTATTAAGTGTTTAAAAGCCTTTAATCATGTTTTTAAAAACATGAAAGCGAATCTGTGCTGTTCTATGCATGCACTATAGAGATGCATGTCCCCACCATTGTCAAGAGCAAATCTACACCCTTGCAATGTGTACCATCAACTGTCTGGTTACCAACATTCTGCTCAGTATCTTCTTCTGTGTTCAAATTAGGGCTGCAGCTACTGATAATTGTAATAATCCATTAATATACCACTGTAATTGATTGATTAACTGATTAATCAGATGAGGTTTTTTCCATTTTCTTTGAGGGGTTTGTGACTGAAATGCAACAGAGCAGTAAAGATTGTATAAAAGCTAATCGCAGGCACACACTTTATGTTGCTTATTGCAATAAACATATAAGCTACTGCACTATATTCTACATTTAAATGATGGATTTAACTAATAATATAATTGAAGGATAAATTAAAAACAAGCTACATATTGCATGTTAATTAAAATATTATAATGAGAAAATTAAATAATCATTTTACAAGCAGGAAGCGAAGCATTAAATGTATAAGTTTTTAAACAAAGCATCGATTACTACAAATTTCATCGATTAATTTTTGCAATTAAAAAGTTAAACAGTTCAATTACAAATTGAAGCCCTAGTTCAAATGATAACACACAACTTCTGCATGTGTAAATAAATAATATCATCTTATATACATTACACATTTGTATTCAATGTCTATGTTGCTTTAAAAAAAAGTCTGTACTTCTTCTAACGGAAAACGTCATCTCGTCTTGTTAGTATGTGTGTGAAACTGCTGGACCGCCCTGCGCTTCCTCTGGGTTCAGTGGCAATGAGGTCGCATTACAAGCCAGTCGTGAAGGCTGTATGTGTGTCTGTGCATCTGCTGAATTAAAAGCCAAGGGGCCTGGGAGGCTTTTAAGCGGCTGCTATATTAAAATGAACAAAGCGCCTTCATAACAATCAGAGCAATTAAAACTACAGTCCAGCAGCTTCACTCTTGAGACTTGGCAACTCTGATGCCATTCTGACACCTATAACAACTGAACGTGCTGATCTAAAACTTCAAGTAAAAAAAAAAAACATCTTTGGATATTTAGCATTCCATCTCAGGAAAGCTTCTTGTTATTTTAACATCTCAAAGGATTTGACTCGCTCTCGGGTTTAGCGGTAGCTTAATGCAGACATTTTTGTTCCTCAACACACTAAAGTGCTTTTCCAAAGAGGGAAAAGGGAAGATCTTGCTAGTACAAGTCAATCTAAGCGCATAAAAAGCAGTGGATGATTAAAATATGAGAAAGCGAGAGGTCAAAAGGAGCGGCGATCACTTGTGGCGGAATTGTAGTTAGCAAAAGGGTCAGCTGGCTTCAAAACTAACTCAAAATACATTCAGCAAGGTCACAAAGTCCTCTTGCATTTCTGGGTTTGTGAGAGACTGTACCTGCAGAAGGAATTTGGCTTCTTCTGTCCTGCCCGTGTCCACGTAAACCAGGAAGAGGTCAGTAGCCGCTCTGTAGGAGGCAAACTGATTGCAGAGCCGTTCCGCCATGGCACTCACTGGACGCAGAGAGAGATGTCAATCAATCACAAGCGTACAGCGGTGATTACTGTGTTACAACACATCAGTGGGCTGCTGTAATGTTTCTCCTAACATAACTCAAGTCAGTTTAGAAGAACCCAAAAACACTGGTTGTGTAAAAGTGTGCATCAGTTGTGTCTGTTCGACTTTAGGAGTCCTTGAATGAGTTTTAAGTCAAGCAGTGCATCTGAAGGCTGTTGTGCTAGAGAATTTGTTATTCTTGAGGTGAACAATTAATCTTTGCAGCTTAATTCACTGAATTTATTTGAGTTTTGGTAATCTTCAATCAAATTTGACCATTTGCTACCCTTTTACTCTTAGTTTGCTACAAGAAAATGATGCTCAAAAAGAAAATGATGGCATTACTCGATATTGTTTTTCTGTCAGAACTACATCAACATTCTGAAATAACGATTTAGGACACTTTCAGTTGACATAAACTTCTAATAAAGATAAATTTAACGTTTTAAGTTGCTGCGGTTTAAAAAGCTCATATTTTGGATTTCAGGATGTGAGTTCCTTAACTGACAGTCACCTCAGTCCTGTAAGCATTTACTTTAAAGGGCATTTATTTTAGATCTTAGATTTAAGTCTGAGTCTTTAAAAAGTGTCTGTAAAGTTTTAGCTCAAAATACCCATCAGACTATTTATTATATCTTTTTGCATCTGGGAAATTTGAGCTGTCAGGACATTTTAGCTGTTTTTGTTGCCTGTGCCTTTAACCTCTAAGGGCTTGAGTGTCCACATATGTGGACAGCACATTTGAGCTCTTAAGTGGCTATTTAAAATACTTTAAATGTTTTATATTTTGTTCCAGACATGCAGTGTCATCCTGCAACTGTTTTGCAGCATATGAAATGTCCCAAACACTATTTTTAACTGTCCAAAATGGGCAAAGATGTTGTCTTTGCTCTGTGATAGTCAAAGAAAGTTAAAAAAAAAATTCCATGTTATAAATACATAAAAAAACAGTCAGGAAAAAGTTTTATGTAAATTCGAACCACGATTCCACATATGAACATCATTCTTTTCTAAAAGTATATCATATGAAAAGAGGACTTAGGTTTTCATTCTAATTAGGTCCCAATAAACCCAAATAGCAAAGAGAAATAAAAAATGCATGTAAAAAACACTTTGGGACTTAAGAGGTTAACGCAAATAAGCTAGTTCTCTCCATCCACCATTTTCACGTGCGAGTCAGAGTCACAGAGATCTCTCTGTATTTCTCTGATGCGTGTAGCCTTTGTGTAGATAAAAAGCATAGTGACAGACAAGAATGAAGCAGACCTGCCTTACTAAAGTGAGATCTTTCCAGATGGTTATTTGATATATTTGTTGTGCACACACATAGACAATTAGCTTTGCACTGTTTTTGCAGGGAAAATTTGTTAGGATACACATTAATATCCACTGCTGTATGGACATCCATTGTGTTAATGTACAAAACAAACCTGATGTAATATCCACAAACTGGGAATGAAGCTTCTTCTTTTATAATTGTACTGACACTATGCGGCTGTGGTGATGAATTACGTAGCAATTTTAACATCTCTATTACAATTCGGTGAGCAGGGAAAGCACACTCCTATGTCACGTTGTAGTGGGCTTCAAAGTGGGAGGTACTTGGGTCATATTTTACCATCAGGAAAATAAAAAACAAAGAGACTTATCGTCTTTCTATTCCTCCAATATGACCCACCAACCCACAGTTCTGTCCAAACAGCAACAAAATTTAAAAATACAAAATGATTTTCAACATCGTGCCCTTTAAAATAAGTAAGGATGATCGAACCAGGTCACTGCTCTCTGCTGAATACTAAAGGCAGGGATGATTGAACGGGACTGGCACAAGTTGGTGAGAACAATTTCATTAATCAAGAATGAAAACTGGAGGAGCTTCAAATATGATCAGATACTGTTGTAGTTTTTACCATGAATGATAAATGACGCTGCTCATTTGCCAATTAGAAAATAAATAAAAATATATCTCACCAAATTAATAATCATCGATAGATGAAAAATGTAAACTTGAATTGTCAATATATTAAAATACATTTGTGAAAGACTATCTTGAAGTGTTCTAATAGTTGTTAATTGTTCTTGATGGGACTGACTAAAATCAGAAATGTAAGCTTTTTTATTTGTATTTTGTTTATTAAAGGTATAGTTCACCCAAAAATCTAAATCTAGTGATTATTTACTCACCCTTTAGTTGTTTCAAAGCTTCAAGAGTTCATTTCTTCTGCTGAAGACAAAAGATGATATTTTGATAGAAGATTAAAATCTGTAACCATCGTCTTCCATAGTATGACTTGCATTGTTTTTCCTACTATAGGAGTCATGGTTACAGGTATTCAGTGTTCTTCAAAATATCTTCTTTTGAGTTCAAGAAAAGAAAGAAATTCTTGAAGGTTTTGAACCACTAGGAGAGTAAATAGTGAGTCAATTTTCTTTTTGGGTGAACTATCCCTTTAAGTGACCCTTTTCACGGTCACAAAAAAGTGCAGAAATGATATTGGACAATTACAATTCAGGACAGTAGATCAACTTATCACAGGTGGAGTGCCCAGTCTTAAATGGTGCATATAACATTACAGCAGCAATAAGATTCCACTATCAATTTTTTAGGGTACACAGACATTCCTTTTTGAGTATGTCAATACAACATTCTAGAATTTTTGTAGAGTTTGCCGATTTGCTCACTAAGTGAGGCCCAGTAAAAAAAAAAAAATAAATAGGTGGTGTGTGTATGTGTGTGTGTGTGTGTGTGTGTGTGTGTGAAACTTACATTTATCCATTGCGGCATCATTATTAGCGTTTAAAACTTTCCGGAAGACGTGAGCAATACTGTTGTTCTGCCTCTCAGTGTTCTCGGTGTAAAAGGTTTGCAACATGTCCACTGCACTGTCCACGTCTCCACTGCAGAGAGAGAGAGAGAGAGAGAGAGAGAGAGAGAGAGAGAGAGAGAAAGAGAGAGAGAGAGAGAGAGAAAGAAAGACCTTTTAAAGACAAACTTATTCGACCACCAGTCACATTAAAAAGCATGACCATCCAGCATCGTGAAGTGCTTTAATGCAGATTCTTTCCTCATTAGAGACTTCTCAGTTTGACCGTCTTTATATTTTAATTTTGAAGTCAGAAATAAAGTGCAACATTCAACCTTTAAAATATATAGATTTTTCTGTTACATATGCAAATAACAATAACAACAATTATATTTTAGCTTTTGAAATTGTACTGTGACTAAAGAGCTTGCACATACTGATGGATTAAGCATTACAAAGATACAAGAATGTATAAAAAATTAAAGTAATGTGGCACAAACATTAGTGTGCTGATGTACAATAACTTTATATAGGTAAATACAATAATATATAAGCATTAGTAGATTAGTAGTGCAGATATAGGGTAATTAGGCAAGTTATTATGTAACGATGTTTTGTTCTGTAGACTATCGAAAAAAATATAGCTTAAAAGGGCTAATAATTTTGACCTAATAAAGGATTTTAAAAAGTTAAAAACTGCTTTATTTCTAGCCGAAATAAAACAAATAAAACTTTCTTTAAAAGAAAAAATATTATCAGACATACTGTGAAAATTTCCATGCTCTGTAAAACATAATTTGGGAAATATTTAAAAAATAAAATAAATTCAATGCAGGGATAATATTTCTGACTTCAACTTTATATCTGTATTAATGGCAAGAATAAATAAAACTCCTAATCCATGTAAAAGTAGTTACGTTTTTACAAATGTTAGGACTCACAAATATATATTAACATTTTAAAATATTGATTTATTCAAAACACTAATATCTTAGAGAGGCATGAAACTAATGTTGATGCTCCAACTATAACGAGAGGGGTCTGGATGCAGATCTGGTGCAGTGCAATCTAAGCTGCATCCAATGCTTTTTATTAGGCTCACCTAACACCACCCCTCACCGTGACGTCACTAGCTCCATTTGAGTGCATTGTGTCTGACATTGTATCGCTGAGTGATGCAATGTCAACTTGCATCATAAAGGCTGCATCCAGATACTATTGACTATAACAGGCGACCATTGAAATTCTTGGAAACATTTTCAAGCGTCTCCTGCAGGTTTCATCAAGTTAAATTTAGATTTGTTTTTAAGAACCTATTAAGACCATTAGGAATGATATTTTAGGCTTACACAGGGTTAAAGAAAAACAGCAGTTGAGTTGTATCTCTGCAATAAAAAATAATGTTTTACTGTGATGTATTGTTGGTTATTGTATGGACATTGGCTTGATTGAACAGATTTACTTAGATAAAGCAAAATTACGACCTGGGGCCAGTCTTCAGAAGTGAATTACTCAATTAGCTGGATTTGATTATTGGCGATTTGATCTGCAATCTGCACTTCGAAATAAAAGTACAAAGACTGTCACAGGGTGGTTCTCCACAAGGTGTTCAAAGAGAGCCTTTATTAATATGGATTTTTTAGATACAAACGCGTACGATTTAAGGTACCAAATTTAGTACAATTTGTGTATGATAATAGACACGCACATAGCCTATAAGACAGTTGTTGTTTTTTTAAATAATAATTTATGCATGTACATGTTTTGACAGCTAATATGATGGTGATTTGATGCTTCGCAAAAGTTGCAACCACCTTTACTAATATCAAAATACTTTGATGCAAAAGTAATATAACAGCCAGTTATAAAGAAATTTGAATAGGCTACTATAACAAAAAAAAATCCTAAATGTAAGACTAAATAAACTGTTAAATACTCTTGACATGAAGTGTAAAGCCTGCAGCTCAAAACAAAGGTGTGAAGTTATTTTACAGTTTACTACGAATTGGATGTAAATTTGCTCACATAGATAATTTAAATTATTCAGATGATGTCATTATGTTGCTGTGCTGTGCCAATCATTGCATTGCTGATCAGAATTGAGGATCCATAAATCTGTCCTTCACAACACACGCAGTGATCTCAGATCAACAGCACATGCAGCGATCTCAGATCAGTTCATCTGATTTGCAAACTTGTTTGACGAACCACATTAGCCAGAGATTAGTTATCAAGATTAAAAGATCCAAGACCTCCCAAGTCATCTTAGATCATTTAAGCAAAGTATGCAGAACCTGTTTAAAATTATTCAACCACTTAAACTCTGCTGCTATTTGGGGATTTCCGCCTAGATTTTGCCTACCTAAATTTAAAAGCTTCCCAAATCCATATAAAGAGGTGTAAATGCAAAAATTTGGTATCATTTTAAAGAAAACCCTTTGAATTTTCATAAAACACTATTGAAAGTGTTTAAAATAACTGTCGTATAAATAAATGTCGTCTGTGTTATAATAAACACCTAAAAAAAGAGGTGCTTTTTGTATTTTTTTATAAATATCAAATTTGAAAGTGTACCTTTTAGGTTCTGTGTGGTCTAGCGTGCTGTAATTAATTTTGGTGGTTCCTGCACATGTCTGTAATCATAGGAAAAAAGGCAAAGGTCTCTACCATAATCTATGCAAAAGTTATTGCATTCCAACTGATGAGAGGTGCTGTAAAAGCCACAGAGACGGATCCATGTTTACATATTTCACTATTCTTTTGTTTGATCAAACATAATTCACTGTGTTTGGACCACATCAGACATATAAAAGGATTACTTATGCACATCACCTCAAAAACAGAGGAGAATGGCCCTGAAGGGCAGCATAAGGTGAGAGATGACAGCTGTCTGTGCTATCTGGGGCTGCTTATTGATCATGAATGTATTGTTTACATTTCTGTGCCATGGAAACACCACAATTCATTCAACAACTGTTTGGCATATGAATATAATTCAGTAAAAAGAACTGTATGAGCACAGGCAAGAGCTTTCATTTGAGCTATAACTTGTACATGTGTCATATAAAAAAAATATGAAAATGAACCAATGTAAAATACCCAGCTCGGGTATCCAAAATACTGTGTACTTAAGTGTAAATAACTTTTATACAGTAGAATAAAAACCAAATTGATGCATGATTGCATAAAATATAGATTCTACACTTTCAAACGACACCACTTACAGGGGTCTGGTGCAACCCTAGCCCTTTAAATCTGAAAGCGAAAGTCGATGGTGTCATGGACCCGGTACCGAGTCCACAGAGTTTAAGTGGTTAATACCTACAACACAATATTTTAGTGAATTTGTAAAGCCTAACATTTTAAGTTATTGAAATTTAAGACATTTAAAGCTTTTTATGACCCAGCGGACATGAAGTTCTTAGGAAATACACACGTTTTTGAAAACCCGTTGTTCATTTCTGTAATTCTGTAAAATTCAAAGACTTATTCGAACACTTCCAAAACAGTTTAAGCTTCTTTCATCCGTTGAACACAAAAAAATATATACTAAAGAATGGTGGAAAAATATAGTATTTTTGTTTCTACTATGGATGTTCAATGGCTGCTTTTCCCCAAAATTTTCAGAATATCTTGTATCATGTTCAACAGAAGAAAGAAATCCAGAAATGTTAAGAACCAGAAGAAGTTGGGTAACTAAAAGCCAGCAAATGGTCATGTAAAAAAATTTCCATTCGATTTCTGCCTCCCCCGACCTTCATTTGCAGAACAGTAAGTGCATAAAACTTTCATGGCCTGCATTAATATTTGCATCCCAGCCACAGATTGTCATTCCCCACCATTCCCAAAGTCTAGAGACAGCATAGGACAGCGGAAGAGCAAAGCGTTCCTAATGGCTGATTGTGCATCTACGTCCTGTCGGGGGTGAACTCTGACCTCCCGGCGGACCTGAGCAACACTGACACGTGTGCTGTGTGCAACTGAGCCAAACTGACTGGTTAAGAGGCGAGACGGGGCTCCGGAACTCGGCCACCACATTAGTGCGGCCCATTGTGAATTATTCAGAATACAAAGTCATAGCCATCACAGCAGATCTGAGCCTTTAATAATAATGTGGGGAAGAGAGAGAACGGAGGAAAGGTACGATACGATGAAAGAACAGGAAGATGAAATTGAGGTGCGAGAAAAGGCCGCTCCCTTGTATTACAACAAACCTTTGACGACACCAATTTTAAGTCAAGGTTAAAGCTCTAAAAGGTCACATTTCATGGTATTTACCAAAAACAAAGCCGGTTTGTTGCTCTTTTCATGAATTTGTTTGCTCACAAAAAAGAAGTTTATGCAGACAGAATCTAATCTCGCCCGCCAGACAGTCTGCTAGCGTTGAGTTTTTAGAAATGCAGAGCGTGTGGTTCAGAGTTTCCGAGATAACAATAAGTCTGTAATCAAGTCTTTGTCAATCACAATCTTAACCTCCATGTCATCTGCTTTCCTCAAGCCGTCAGGTATGTGGTGCTGAATTTTGCTGCATTTCATTTAACTGCGCATCCACTTTAAAAACATCTGACTGACTGCTCATTTTTAGTATTGTGAGCCTTGCTCGAGTGGCAAAGAGACTTGTAGTTGTATTATAGGGAATGGCAATGCTGACATGATAACAGGGCATTTTGGTAGTTGACAGGGCGTCGAGGTCATTATTTCTTCATCCCCAATCATTTCAGGTACATCAACAGTGCACATTTTCGATGTCTTCCTTAAACTGGAAATGCAATGTGCAATTTTAGCATGAAAACCTGAATACATTTAGAAAGATTGACATATTTCTATGGTAGTAGGAACTAGTGTAGAAGTGCAAGTACACAACTGAATGAAAGTCTGGACATTTTACTTTTTTAAAAATCTAATGCTTTAAAAAAAGGAAAGAAAATAAACATTTGGAATTAAATTAAATAGTTAGATCACTCAAAAATAAAACTTATCTTAGTATTTACCCCCATTTGTTGTTGCACAACCTCCAAGAACTTCATTTCTTTTAAGAAAAAAAATTCAGATTTTTGAAATTAAATCAGAGAGCTCTCTCATCCTCCATAACAGCAAGGTTCCAGAGATGTTCAAAGTGCAGAAAAATATCATAAAACATCATCAAAATAGACCATATACCATTTCCAGTTTAATCGGTAGAATTATTAAGCTATGAGAATACTTTTGTGTGCACATAAAACAATAATAATGACTTATTCAATAGACTTTCCTCAGTGTCAGTAAAGTCAAAGACTATAGAATATACAAGAGGTGCCACTCATATAGTTTTGAATGGGAAAGTGTAATGGTCAATATGGTGAATGAAGCCCCGCCTACTAATAAGGGAGCCAATCATTGATCGATCCAGACTTATGTTTCTATAGGAGAGAACTCAGACCAGACCTGTGCTTTTGCGACAGTTTGGTGGTCAACAAACGCACTGGAATCGCAGCAAATACTTGCATCACAGACATAAGAAATATATCAAATAAAGCCTGCAATCTGTGCTTTTAAAGAGCCCCTATTATACATGAAATAGGGTCATATTTTGGTTGTAAAAGTCTCCAACAACAGTCTAGTATGCATGCAAGGTCAAAAAACACTTAAATGGTCTTATAATCTGCATTTATTTTTACCTAATTATCCCAGCGCCTCCCATATGAATCATTCAGTGATTTCTTTGTTCCCAAACCCCTCCTTAGCGTGAAGCTAATCTGCGCTGATTGGACCAATGACAGCGTGCTGCGATTGGTCGACACTGACAGCCTTCAGCGCGAGACAGAGTGAAATGCCCAGCAGCTAATCAACAATATAGAAGTAGTCACAGTGCATTTAGAAATGAGACTTATGAGACAGTTGCTGTTTAACCTTATTGGAGATTCAAAATATTTAATGTGATCATAAGCTTGGCAAACAGTTTAGGAGAATTTGATGTTTCCCCATTCAACAGAACGCCAGAGCATACCGCCCAAAAACATGCCTTACAGCAGGCATGTCCAAACTCGGTCCTGGAGGGCCGGTGTCCTGTAAAGTTTAGTTCTAACCATTTCCAATCAGACACACCTGGGCTAGCTATTCAAGCTCTTACTAGGCTTTCTAGAAACATCCTGCAGGTGTGTTGAAGCAAGTTGGAGCTAAAATCTACAGGACACCGGCCCTCCAGGACCAAGTTTGGACACCCCTGCCTTACAGGGACTTTGGTATAGTGCACACTCTCACGTGTCATGCTCCGCCACACTGCTGATGTATACCTTGCATGCGCTAGTGCTGTGCTTCAAACAGAGAAAAATGGGTTTGGGCATCCAGGGCATGCATCAGTGCCTAGAGCTTGTGAATGCTCACCCTATACTGACACTAAGGAGAAGAAAATGTTGAATTATTCTCAAAATGATATATTTACAAAATTATTCTTGTAGCTTGACAATAGCAAGAATGTTTTAGCCATTTTTATGAATGAGGGAGCTCTAAATTATAAATTAAATCTAAAAAATCTTATTTTAGGGCAACACAGTGAGTAGCGATGTCACCTCACAGCAAGATGGTTGCTAGTTCGAGCCTTGGCTGGCTCAGTTGGCATTTCTGTGTGGAGATTGCATGTTCTTTCCGTGTTCACATGGGTTTCCTGCGGGAGCTCCAGTTTTCCACAAAAATCCAAAGACATGTACTATAGGTGAATTGAATGAACTAAATTGTATGTAGTGTATGTGTGTGTGAATGCGAGTGTATGGGTGTTTCCCAGCGATAGGTTGCAGCTGAAAGGGCATCCGCTGCGTAAAACATGCTGGATAAGTTGGGGATTCATTCCACTGTGGCAAACCCCTGATTAATAAAAATTAACGAAGCCAAAAAGAAAACGAATGACTGAATATCTTATTTTGAGTTGAACAAAGGAACAAAGGTCTCAGGGGTCTGAAACAACATGAGGGTGAGTAGTTAATAACAATTTTTATTTTTGGGTGAACTAACCCTTCAACTTATTAGCCTAAACAAAAAATCATGATTTCCATCAAAACATTAAGGCAGGGGTGCTCAACCAGTTCTTGTAGATCTACCTTCCTGCATAGTTCAGCTTCTACCCTGACCGAACACACCTGAACCAATTAACAAGGACCTGAACAGCACTTGATAATTACAGGCAGGTGTGTTTGATGTAGGTTGCAACTGAAATCTGTAGGAAGGTCGATCTCCAGGAACAGGGTTGGCCACCCCTGCATTAAGGCGTAACTCTTTTCAGTGCTTATAACAGGGATGTCCAAGCTCGGTCCTTGAGGGTCAGTGTCCTGCTGAGTTAAGCTGCAACTTGCTTCAACACACCTGCAAGGAAGTCTCTAGTATGTCTTGTACGCTTGATTAGATCATTCAGGTGTGTTTGATTAGGGTTGGAGCTAAACTCTCTAGGACACTGGCCCTACAGGACCAAGTTTGGACACCCCTGGCTTATAACATCTAAAAATGTTTTTTGATCACAAAATCTTCATATTAAAACAAATTCTGAAGGTTTTAAGCGACACTAAAGACCTGAGTAATTGTTTCTATCAATTCGTATTTTCTATCACATGAATAAATTAGATTTTAAAATACAATAAAAAAAAATAAAATAAAACTTTTAAACAAAATTATTCTCTCACTATATCACAGTTTTTTTTTTTAGGATTTATTTAGAATCAAATGAATGTAGCCTACTTTGGTTGGTAAAAGGAACATCCTTCATTAAAAATCATAGTACCACTGGACTGACAATATATTTCCAGAGCATAAATTGTAACTCAAAATGCTCAGAATGACTACAAATAATGTTTTTTTTTCATTACATTTCAAGCCATTTGAGGTGACAGAGGCATAAACGGTGCAAGACAACTTACGTGATCATGAGAAATAACAGTGATACTTTCATCGGCAAGAAACTTACTTGTTTAAAAGAGCAAGAGCTGTATTGTTGACAAATAACATATTGGACAGATTGAAGGAGCCAAAAGCTTTCGTCATGGCCTCCACCTCCTGGATATCCTTTAGATTTCCCTCATCAGCGAGACCCTGAACCAGTCGAGTGATGGCCAATTGACTGGGCATCTGGTCAGCCTTTAACATATCCCGAAGAACCTGCACAGAATCTAAGACCAGGAGGAGATTGTGTGGTCAAGTTTAACAGAAGTAAAGCTGGGAAGAAACCTTGGTGTACTCAAGTCCAACTCACCTTTCATCTGGCATTTCTTCACATGAGAGATTATGAGTAGGTTGTTGGCCACGTCACTTAAAATGAATGACGGAATATGACCGACAGCACTGAGAAGACAAAAAGAGTTTTAGTTGAACCCAACTGTAGTTTGAGAACTGTAGTCGTGTTTATGAATAAAACATCATGTTGTTGTTATATATGGGTGTTGATGCCGAGAGCCATTTCTTCACTGTGGACATCGTGAAATTGTGTGCATGCATGTGTGTGAGACTCAATAAATCCTACAAATCTGGATGCTCCCTCGACCGTCCGTTTTCGTCACTTAAACCTCAATCAAAGTCTTCTTTTTTTATAACCCTCACTGACCAGATTAATCCGGTCGCCCCAATTGAGCATCAGCCGCCGTTTCTTATCTCCAGCGTGAGCCGCCAACAGTCGCTCATATACGGCAGATTGGCCCAGCGACCAGAGTCAGAGTTACTCTTATCAATCCTAAGAAAATCCTCGTGTCCTTTTCCTTACTCTCGCCTGGTCCTCTAAGTGCTGGACAATCCCATCTCTCGCTTCTCTCTTCCATCCCCAATCCTCTTAATCTGGTCTTAAAGAAGCTGCTGGCCAAACCAATGTAGAGCCAAACATCTGCTTGCATTCTACCACACACACCTTTTAAGTAATAAACAACAAACATGGTTTTATTATAATGAAACAATTATTTAGATAAATTTTGAGATTTTAGTCTATATAGCAGGCTTGCTGTTTGATCTTGGTGTGGTATGCTGCTGATAATTTGTTCTATACAGGAGGAGAAAATTATTAGCCATCCTTTTCTCAATATTGATAAAGTGCTGCTTAATGCAGAGATTTTTTCTCAAAATAATTTTAAACATAATAGTTTTAATAACAAATTTCCATTAACTAATTAGAAACGTTTTTTCTTTGCTGCGATGACAGTACGAGATATCGTTACTTATTTTGCGAGATTCTAGTATTTAGCTTAAAGGATTCAATTCAATTCAGCTTTATTTGTATAGCGCTTTTACAATGTAGATTGTGTCAAAGCAGCTTCACATAAATGGTCATAGTAACTGGAACAGTGTGGTTCAGTAACTGGAACAGTGTGGTTCAGGTTTTAGTGTTTAAGTTCAGTTCAGTTCAGTTTAGCTCAGTTCAGTGTGATTTAATCATTACTGAGAGTTCAAACACTGAAGAGCCAATTCATCGATGCGTAGCTCTACCAATCCTGAACCATGCGAGGCAGTGGTGACAGCGGAGAGGGAAAAAAACTTCACCTGATGGGAGTGAAGAAAAAAAAAACCTTGAGAGAACCAGACTCAGTTGGGCACGACCATTTTAATTTCTCCGCTGACCAAAAGCCTTGTGCAGAGCTTCATTTGCCGTGGTTTAGGCTGGAAGATGGCCTCAGCGAAGACTCGTCTGTCCCTGGAGCGTCGCTGGAATCAGACTCATGTTCTCCACTCCCCACGACCATCAGCGCATCATAAAACCCCCACAAAACATGAGGAGACTGGGGATCAGGCACGTGCACACATAGGGCTCAACCAGTGCAGTGCACATGCCCTTTTTAGTCTTGGATAGAAAGTGCCCTTCCAAAATGATCCAAAGTGTCCTCGCGACACACCCTCCCTCCCCTCCTTCAGTAGGCGCGCGACAACACCGCTCGAGAATTTCGCTGATTTCTGCAGATTTTTAGCCCATTATTAATTCTGTTTTTTAACTTGAGTAAATGTGTAAATCTGAATTTATTTCGTTTTTATTCAGTAATTTATTTCTTTTTATTTAATATATTAAGGGTTTAATTATGATACTCCGCTGGATACTCCCAAAATAATTCCGCAGAAATCCGCAGATTTTTTACCAAAATTCTCCGCAGAAATAGCAAAAAACGTTCGCAGATTCCGTCTGGCCCTGGCTATGGTGCGTTAATATTAATATACAAAAGTTTAATATTAGCGCATCTGAAAAAAAGCATAGGGAAAAGAGTGTGTGGCTTTTGGGGAAAAAGTGTAATCTAGTGTTTTATAAATGCTTCATATTAAGAGCTGTAAAAAAAAAAGACTAGTAAGAGTAAGAGACAGTTGACATTTATAGACAACTGTGATGCTGACAGAGTTCATGTGTTTTATACATAATATCTTCCTTAGAACGCAACTTACAATACATTAGCCCCTTTCACACATTGATACCGGTAAATATCTGGAAAATTTCCGGAACGACTTTACCGGTAAATTTAAAAAAACTGCTGTTCACACAGGCGAGGACGTTACGGAAATTTTCCGGAAAAGAGCATTCACACATCCATTCCAAAATACCGGTAAATTCTGACATCATTCACCACAAATGAGCTTTAAATGGCTGCGCTTGTATTTGTAAACATTTGACTAAATTACAAACTCTGTGGATGATCAATATTGTGAACAACTTTCGCAGGATCACTTTCGCATGTCGAGATGTTCATAATATGTGCGTGTGCAGGCGCTCACAGGCTGTTTCACAGGCACACGCAAAGCTTGAAGGTAAACAAACAACGGCTTATCATAAGCATCTCATCGATGATTATTTACACAGTTGGCATCAAGAAGAACATATAAACGTGATCTGACTAACATCTAGCAGCTAAATGTGTCTGGAAAAATATTCAAAGGCTTTTATTCTCACAAACCGTGCGGACGTAAATGCGTCTGACTGTTGTGATTGGCTAAAGCAGACGTCTCACGTCAGCACGTTCTAGACGTGCACGCGCTTATTATGGCAATCTTCCTTCTGCACTCACACAGCGCAGCATTCCGGCAAATTGCCGGTAATGTTACAACTTCTCTTTCCGGAAAATAGTCAGAACGAATTTACCGGTATTTTCAAAAAGGACCTGTTCACACATACAACGGAAAGGTCTGTATGTGTGAAAGGGGCTATTGTCTATCTGTAATTAGGTCTGTGCAATATGGCAAAAAAAAAAGTTTGACCGATTCACGATTACGATTTTTTAAAATTGTGTAACTAGTAAATTTAAACATTACAACAACATGACTGAAGTAACATTCGCTTTATAAGTAACTTGAAAAACCATCTGGTTAAGGAACTCTATTTTTAATGGCCATGCCATACATAAATTGGTCAACAAGGTGTGAATAAATGTTAAACTAATTCACGAGTTAAATATCGTTGCAGAAGATTTAATATATATATATATATATATATATATATATATATATATATATATATATATATATATATATATATATATATATATATATATATATATATATATGTGTGTGTAAATATTGCAGTTGCAGGAATACAGAGGTATTTTTTGCAAGTTTTGCTGAGCCTGGGAAAGGTCAGCTGTCAGCTCGGCTTTGACTTTGTCTTCTTCTGATTGAATGACAGGTTGTAATACTGCTGCCAATTTCTTAAAAAGTTACAGTGGAAGTAAAGGACTGAACATGGAAACTGTAAAGCCTAATTTAACCCAATGCGTAAGGTTGTGGTCGTATAGCAGGAGCAAAAACATGCACCAGATGTGTGTCTATTATAAAATAACATATTCATTCTATTTTTCTTTTCCCCCCTTTTAAAAACTGATCATTTGATGTGCTTTGCACCACTCTCTGTATTATGCTGCCTGACTGGGTTTCAACTAGGTCCGCTAAATGACGTCATGGGGGTGGGTACTTCACTTTTCACAGCTACAGGCTTAGCTACTCATGTCTGCTCGTGTTCAAACCAAACATAGATCAGTGTGGTTCAAACTAAGATGGGCGCGGTTTTTCACATGGCAGGTTTTTACGTCCTTCAAACATTTTGAGAGATCGAGATTATCGACTTGATAAGGAAATATGTCTTGACAATCCACACAGACGTGACTTAGTAAAGCGTGAAGTCATGTAGGATTTTACTTGTTGCATTAGTCTGAATGTAAATGCCCTCGTCAGGCAGTGATGGAGTAGCGTGAGAGAGTGGACCAAAGCACGTTTGATGCAAGGGTATTAACAAAAGAAAAATACACAACTTAAGACACTTAAATGCTTGTATTTGTTGTATTTGCACTAGCTCTGCGATGCATGCCCACAACTTCATGCATTGGGTTAAATATTGGGTAAGGCTGTCCAGTCTCTGTGTTCATTCTGTCACTACCATGATTGAAACCCAGACAGGCAGTCAGGCAGAGTAATACAGAGATCGAACCAAAGCGCATTTTAATAATAATAAATAATAATGTATTTATTATTTTTATAAAAATAATTGTGATACCTCGATTTAATATAAAATCAAATTGTCTTAAAATGTAATTTCGAGTCAATCATAAAAAAAAAGAATATGTAAGTGTTAGAAAATATTTCCATTTTGCAGTCAGGTTGCTTCTGTGCATGAGTTTCTTTAAAACTGAATGAACTCAGTCGCACACATAGCACTTATGCATTTATTTCTTTACAAAACAGCCTTTGCAATTCAATAATTGGCCTATAATGTCAATGTGTTAGGAATAATAATTATAAAGTCACAATGTTTGATACATTCCCCAATCCCCATTTTCGAATTTGATGCTTGAAGCTACAGCTTAATTTAGGCCCTGCGTACATGCATTTAAAGTCAATGAACAGTGAGATAACACAGAGTGCAATAGCAACAGTATTGTGTGATAGCCCTGTACAGATACTTTTTCGAACACTTCCTGGAAGCACGCACATGATTAAAGGGGCGATGGGTTTCTTTCATGAGGACATATCATCTGAAGTATAATAGGACCCAGTAAACCCTCTGAGCTTTATGGATAAATCAAAGATCACCAGCGCAAGCTCTAATACAATGCAAAGATCTATTACTAATCGACAAAGGCCTGTTATTATTGCATCTTGTCGAGCTCTTCTGAGAACTCAAGAGATTATCTAGTAACGTTGAAAAAGCTTAAATCATAAGACTGCTCGCTTCGCATATATGCATGTGTGTGTGTTCAGCTAGTAGGAGCTTATCTGCGTTCATCCGTTTCAACTCAAGAAGATTTCTTGATATGGCACAAAATGAGTATAATGGCTACCGCCGGTGACCTTAAAACCTGTAACTTGGCAGGCCACGTTTTGAACATCTTTACCATGCAAAGACAGAAATATTGAATGCCATGACAGACTTACATGTCCTTGACAGAGATGGCATCCTCTATGTTGCCTTTAGCCAGCAGTGCTTTAATGATGGCATCATATATAGCAGGGCCCGGGACAATTCCTTTGCTATCCACTTCCTTCAGGATATCAAAGGCCTCTGAGGGTCAGAAACAAGTGTTGAAGAGTTTACACTTTACTTATAGAATGAAATCACTTGAGTTTATTTGATCAACTTTGCCTAATTGCTGATGAAAAGCAATTTAAAATAATTAATAGAGAGATTTATAGAAAGAAATATATACATTTTCAACCTGTGTAGCTGCTGCTTTAAAATTATTGAATATATTCACTACATTTTGTGAAGTTATGAGTATCCAATGAGGAGACTTTAGATTGCACTTTTACATTGCTCGATCACAGCCATCCAAATACTGAAGTTCAATGATTTTTTGCAATGATTTCTGACCAAGGGAGTTGGTTTATTTGGAGAGTTAACTGTAGAGACTAATAGAAATCCTGCATTGTAATTAGCAGAAGCATGGCATGGGAATTTTATTGGGAACAAAGACCTTGCTATTGGACCTTGATCTTGTCATTGGTAAGCCTTGTGCTACAGCTCCAATATATTCAACTTTATTTATAATGCACTTTAAAACAACACAGTTGACCAAAGTGCTGACAATAGAGAGTAAAGCAAAGAGTAGCAGATACTTTAAAATACAAATAAACAAACATAACATGTCAACATCTCACACTGTGCTAAAAGCCAAATTGAACAAGTGGGTTTTAAGAAGAGATTTAAAACAGTAACAAAAGAGGCTTGTCTAATATACAACGGCAGCCCATTCCACAATTTAGGTGCGGCCACAGCAAACCCTGATCCCCTCTGAGCTTTCAACCGGTCCTGGGCACACTCAGGAGGAGCTGGTTGGCTGACCTGAGCATACGAGAAGGTATGAAGGGACTAGGGATGCCACGGTTCTCAATATATTATTGAACTGTTCGGCACGACCTCCACGGTTCAATACGCGCTTGTGAATTGTGGTTTTCTGTAATGATTTCTGACCAAGGGAGTTGGTTTATTTGGAGAGTTTGGAAAGTTAACTGTAGACACTAATAGAAATCCTGCATTGTGATTAGCAGAAGCATGGCATGCTAATTTTATTTGGGTTTTGTGTTTAAATAATTTATGTGCGTTTTCTATCTCCCCGAATTGAAGGTGCTTGTAAGTTCATGAGCTGAGATGAGGAAACTCCTTCCTGCAAGTAAATATCCAATCACTATGTTCTGTAGTTAGGGGGTGCTTAACCATCATTCCACACATTAACATGGCGAGCAGCGGTGAAGCGAGGTTGAGGCAACAGTATAAGGAAGCACCGGCGAAGTGAGGCAACAGTACGAGAAAGTTCCAGGGTCTTTCAAATCTGCGGTGTGAGGACATTTCGGTTTTGCCGGTAAGTATAATGCCAATAAAAGAAAAACCGGTGAACAAAAAATAACTGTGTGCAAGCATTGTTTTACAGGTATAACCATTACTGCACATCTGCAGCGCCATCACCCAGCAATATCACTGTCTGAAGGCAGGATAGCAGAGAAGGTAATAAAGTTATCCAAATAGCAACAATCCCTCGCTGAATCTTTCAAGCAAACATACCCAACTGGTTCAGAGAAACACAAAAATAACAAAGGCAGTGCGGGTGTTTATTGCTAAAGATTTGCAGCCATTTTCGATGATTGGAAATGTGGGCTTTTGTCCTTTTATAAAAGCACTCGGTCCGGGTTAGACTACAGTCTCGCATTTTTTCAGCACAGAGATAATTAGGATGGTTTATTAATGTTTAATTAAGTACAAATATGTTTATTTGAAATGGCCAATTTTTCTATATTAACTTCACATGTATGTTTATTTTCAAAATGTAGGAATTTGTGTTACCCAGTTTGTACATAGGCTACCAGCAGCTTAGAGATTTCAGTGTTAATTTTTTTTTACATACAATACACAAGGAACAAGTGTACTTTTATTGGCTTTTAAGTAAAACAAAATGAGTATTGCAATAAATCGTTTTTATTTGTTTTCTCCTTAACCTCTTACTGTTCCTATTGCCTGTAGAATAAAAAAAACAAGTGTCAAGCCATGAGAACCAAACCTAAAACCGTGTTAAAAAGCCGAGGTATGTATTGAACCGTGGGCTAACTGTATTGTTGCATCCCTAGTAGGGACAGAGAAGCTCAGAGAGGTTAAGAGGTGCATCGGCATTCAGACACTTAAAAACTAATCAAAGTAACATAAAATGGATCCTGAAATGCACGAGCAGTCAGTGAAGAGAGGATAAAACCGTGGTGATGTGTTCGTATTTGCGTATGCCGGTTAAAACACACGCAGCTGCATTTTGAAAGAGTTGCTATTGAGAAATAGAGGACTGACTCACCCCAAATCAAAGTGCATTACAGTAGTCCACGCAGGTGATTACAAAGGCATGGATTACTGTTTCAAAGTGCTTGCGTGATAGAATGTGCTTAATTTCTCTCTATATAATGTATTTTTCAAGCAACCAAAAGAATAAATAAATTAATACCAATGAAAAGTCTCAGAAAAAGCATTAGTTGTATTCTTAACTGAAACAGGGCAGGCTATAAAATGGTAAAACAGCAAAAAACTAATTGAGGTGGAAGCGACAAACTGCAAGCCTTGAAATGCCACTGTTTTGTTGCACACCAGATTCTAGATTTACATTTTTAAGACTAACATACAGACACTAAAATCTAAAAAAATATTTGATTTCACTGGGACTTTAAAGGTCTGTGGTTTCCTATTTTTGTGAATGTGTTCATCTGTACCAAATTCATCTAGTCTCCATTAAAATCATACTTAGAATTTAGGCATTAAAGAACTAACCTTGAGCTTCGCCTTTCTTACAGAGGGACTGCAGTTTGAGACGGATTGTGGCATTAAGACGGGAACGATCATCAGTCTTTTTAGCCACAGCGCTTGATTCTTCTTTCTCTGGGACCACCTCGGACTGACCTTTGTCATCCTCAAACCACACCTAAAAAGGTAGCAAAAAACATAATCAAAAAAGGTAATCAAATTCTGAACTTTAACTTAATTATCTGACCAAGGCAGGGTCCAAATGTTGATGTTTTGAGCTGTATAAAAAGGGTGGGCTTCAATCTGATACCAAGTAAATACTCGGCCAGTATCACTGATATGGACACTAATCTCTTAAGCATTTAAAAACATGCACTTGAACCAGCATGTATGTTTCTGTAAAGTAAAGCAGTGCACGATTACTTACGGTGCATGCAGTATCAATACTCTAAATCAGAACACTCTGATGGGGGTCGCACACCAGATGCGCCGTGCCATGACGTAAAATTAATATAAACTTAAATAAACTTAAAAATAAGGAGAAAATGAACATTGTTTTATTCTAACTGGGAAACAAAGTGGCCAATCAAAGTTGCCTGAGATGTGCATATTAATGATCCTGTATGCAACATATCAGTCTGTGTTTTAGCTGCTGAACTTCTAAAACTTCGGCTGCTCGTCACATCCTGCTGATGTAGAAAGGGTCTTAAAATATAAGCAAATGTTGAGGGTATGCTAATGGATGATCCTGTGAGCAATGCAACAGTCTGCATTGTGTTCTGATATGCCTATTTTTCACCTGTATTTAACATACAGAATTTACTTTAGTATGAAACAATAGCGTATGAGGCTCTTGGTATGGCCATTTCTTGCCATATTCATACATTTCAGCTATGCCAGGGTATAGCGAGATTTTCTTTATAGGGCACCTTTAAGATTAATCTGCCCACACCTACTGAACATTGACTTGGTTCTTTTACCTTCGGCACCTCAAATGGCACCTCCTGGTTATTGCTTTTAAGGATTTCAGCAAGCAGACGCAAGGTCCTCTCTCTCGGAGCCAAATTTTCCTCCTGCATTTTCATCCAGATCGCTTCAGCCTTACGCCAGTCATTGGTCTCCTCTGACAACAACAACAACAAGTTCATGTAAAGTTGTTACACTCATCTATTATAATTTTAGCTCCAACACACAAGACTTACTGCAGAGTCGGAACAAGTAGTGGTACATTTCATCTCGGTCACACTCGAACAGCTTCACAGTCATGTCCACCAAGTTCTCAAGCGGCTCCATCTGTGGACAGAGAGATTTAAACACAGATACACACTTTATTGATCTATAGCAAATCAGACAAAAGCAGAGACAGACATACTGACCTGTTGGGCCGCGATGCATTTCTCTGCAAACCACTGCAGACGGTTTGATCGTGCCCTTAGACCAGGAGTCTGACCATTGGTAGAGAAAACAACAAAACAAAACAATTTATGAGACCACAAAAATAATGAATTTAATAATATAATGAAAAGATAATTGAATGATAAAGATAAATAATAATCACTGAGCAGATGTGCAGGGGTATAGACTTAAAATTAAATCATATATATTTAACCTAGCTTTAAAAAGAAACACATATCAGATAAACTGGTGAATAGTAACTACTGTAAGCCTTATATCATATCTGTAATGATGAAGTGTTATGGCAGAGATTGGATTCAAGAGTAATACGAAGATAATTGAAGGAGTAAACAATGTAACTGGCAAATTATTCGAGACGGGTGGCAAACAATACATGGTGTAAATAAATAAAGGGTCAAAACTCAGCAAGGCAAGACAAGGAAAACCCTTCGTAAAGTTCACTATAGTTAAACAAGACTCAGCACTGGTTGTGTGTGTGAATGGTGTATATATGGTCAATGTAATCAGTGATGAGGAACTTCATTTGTATGTAAAATTAGGGTGAACTTGAAACTGGTGTGTGAGTGCAGAGCATGACGGGGTTTGTAGTTCGGGTAAATGACATGGACTGTTCTCAAGCAAACAGTAAGGGCTATGTTGCTGGCGATCACAACAACTATAAATCAAAACACAAAAAAAAACAACACATAAAAATCAACACACACATTGCCAATAGATAAAAAATATTAAATAATTACAAACAATAATAATAAAATTTAACTAATCAAATAAAAAAAGGTGGTGGTATTGCTATTGTAATAAAAACAAATCAAATATAACTAAAACCAGACAACACACACACACACAAATACACACACACACAGTCGGATGTCTGCATTCACACTGTCTCTTGTTGGAGGAAGTTGTAGAATCAGCATCCAGCACAGAATTACTCTGCAAATCAGCCTCCAGGCCAAGTTCAAGCCTTCCTCAAGCCTAATCTGCTTAGCAAATAAGAGCAAAATTGAAGCGCTACACAGACACCGTCTTTTTTTTTCCTGTTGCAGCCCTGGGTCCTGATGCATAAAGCCCTGAGGGGCAAATCTTCCCTTAAGTAAATCCAGGATGATGAGCACCCCCACCCCTCCAATCCCCCTATAAAGAACAAATGAACACGCACACACACACACACACACACACCCATCTGACCCAAACACACATGCACACGCACGTACACACAGCCAAAACTCAAAAGAACAACTAGGTCAGATGATTAAGAAAATCTGGTGTCTACAAATGCAACCAAACTGACTTCATTTGAAATTTACGTTTTATTCATAAATTTTAGAATTTGACATTTCTGTTGGTGAATTTTAAGAATTTATTTTGTTTCAGCTTGTATTTTATTATGAATAGGCATGTCACTATTTATTTATTTATTTAATTATCATTTTATTACAAAATAAGAAAATATATTTTATATATATATATATATATATATATATATATATATATATTTATTTATATATTAAGTATGTGTGTGCGTGTGTGTTTTTAAAGCACAAAATACATATTAAAGATATTTATTTAATTATGAGATTAAAAGTAAAATATGACGAAGTATGTTAAAATTATAACTTACAAATGACCTAAAACTTAAATCAGAAATTAAAACATATAAAGCTTTTTATGTAAAATATATATATAAATACTTTTTATAGGCTTTTATTTTTAATATGCAAACTAGCTTCCAGAAAACATACATTTTTAAATACTTAATATAAAACATTTTCACCCCAGTGAAATTATCTAACAAATAAAGCTTTTATTGTTTGAGCTGACAAAATAAAAGGATTGTCTTAAACACATTCATGAAATAAATGCTTTAATATAAAACCTCTTAATTTCCATAAACTGATTAATTCAGCCTAGAAAATCTCGACCTTTGTTAATACAGACATCTAGTTAATTTAAAAAAGTTGATAAGGAAAAAAAAATGTAAGTCTAATGCTTAAAAAAAGATAAAATAAGAAGGACTACCAAACTGGACCATAATCCATGGCCTCCGCAAAGTAAACAAAACCTCTTCATTCAATCAGACCTTTGAGAAAACCCATCCATCATCATCACACTGAAGATGCCCTCATTCTCTCAAACGCAGGTCACACACTCAGAAACACTCACTCGTCATTTTAATTACACCAAAACCTTAACCAGCATTTCACTTAATTACCACCATTATTAATAATCTGACAATTACACACAGCACAATCACCTGACGGACCACTTAAAGTTTCTATTAGAGCTCTGTGTCTGCTAATGCTACTTGGATATCAGTGTTTTTAATTATGGAAGAGAAGAGCGGGAAAACGCTCCACAGGACGAGAGCGGCTTTTGACCCGTCAAGCACAAGGACGCTTGATGAGCTGCCATTAAACATCAACTTTTACAGAGTTTATAGTGGCCAACTTTAGGGGAATCAAACTACTGTAACTGTCAGGTGCCGATAGTCTAGGGCTTTGTCTTTTTTAGGGACTGATAGCGAATATTTAGTGTTCAACCAATCATATATTTATACGATTATATATTAATATATGAATCTTATACACTTTTCAGGTATATTTTACTTAACAATAAAGAACTTATATTATACAAGCTAGAAATCCAGCAGTGCTTAAACATTGTCATAAATTCCTCTAAATGCTTTATTTTAGGTTCAATTCCAATTCTATTTTTGTATTCTATTATTGTTATCATAACTATATAATGTGGCAATAAGATTGTAACTGTGCTGTGCATTTACACCATGGCCATTGATCAAAACACATGAAAACAACATTGACGTTGTACCAGACACTGTCAAAAGCCCATTCCCAGCCACTAGACTTATTGACATTCAAATCTATGGTTTCTGCATAGTATGTCATCGATTGACAGATGGCAAAGTATGTTGTGGGAGTGCTATACAGGAGTTATTAATAGGGATTATACAGATAGCGAAATTTAGCAGGGTTTTATTTATTAATTTTTTTATTAAAACAAACATGCGGTTATGAATGTATTAAAACATGTGCTTGTTTGTTGTAAAAATTCGGAATAATGACAAAAAGATTTGTGCATCTCCTTATTTCCGTGTGCAGGTGTATAGGGGGAAATTTCGTACTTCTTGGTTTCCAGTGTGGTCCTGAAAAATCTCAGTTTCAAGGGCTATCTAGCCCTTCCCCTTAGCCCTACGCCTTCAAGGTAAAGAGAATTGGGACACCCCTACCCCTTCACATGAACACGCAAAATGAGGGTGAAGGAGTCGGATTTCTACTTTCAACATTTACATTTCAACATTTTACTTTTACATATAATTATTTGATTATTTGAATGATCTTTTAAATTGACCTGAACCAATGAATAACTAAAACACTGCTTTATGTAAGAATGTTCAGTGTCCGTGCTTCTCTCTTTGCCTGTCTATTTTAACTTTGTTTTCAGGAGACACAAAAACCAGGTCATAGATCATGAAGATCTCTCCCTGTCCCTCTGGATGGAATTACTAATGCAGAGGAGAGGAAAAACACCTGTTCTATTTGTCAGGATATTGTCTACAGTAATTTTGCTGTTTTGATTGTTAATTCTGATTAAAGTAATTCCTTTTGTATGTAGATAACTCTGCGTGTAGTAAGGATATTGTAGTCGAATGTTGATGGAACCAGTCTTGAACCAGTTTGATAAAATAGCTGAACGTACAAGAAACAACCTTGAGTTTCCACAACAGACTGTCTCTTGCGTCTACTGTGTCCCTGGTTTAGCTTTTACAAGTCAGAAATCAGCTCTTAATAACTTAGGGCCTACTCACACTATGCCATCCGTACCGTGCCCAGGCCTGTTTCCCGGATCGTTTGAGAAGTGTGAGTGCGCTGAATCGCGCTCAAGCACGGTTCACTTGGCCGGCCCTGGCCCGGTTGGAAGAGGTGTGCCTGAGCGCGGTACACTTGGGCTTTGGCGCGGTACGCTTGTGTGTGAGCGCAAAACGCGCCAAAGCCCGAAACCGAAAGCGAGACGTGACTTTTAAGGGTCTGTTTGATATGGATTTATTAATCATTCACAGCACGCCAGCTGCGCGCCTTCAGCAGACCTCCTCATTCCTGCAGCACGAGAGCTTAATGATTGTTTAAGAGCGCCAAAAGTGGCGGATCTGTTCGGCAAAACATCTGACTGCGTGTCACCACATCCCTAAGGACTGTTTGGCGAAATATTTGACGGCATATCAAACGACTGAAACGATATAACTAGAGAAATCTCCACTGTGCTACTGAGTGAGAGCGTATGGCAAGCCGTTTTAGCATTTAAACCTTGTTCTGACTATCTATAAATATATTTAGAGATATCTCTAATTATATTTTGACTAGTCATAATTATAATTCGACTAGTCAGAATGACAATTAGAGATATCTGCAATTACAATTGTACTAGTACGAAATCAGATTGGAGATATCTGCAAATATATTATGACTAGTCATATTCCTCCATTGAAAAAATATTTGCAGATATCTCTAACTGAGTTTTGACTTGTCAAAAATCCAATTCAAGATATCTACAACTGTAATTCGACTATTAGTAAATTAATTAGAGATCTTCAAATATATTTGTAAATATCTCTAAATATGATGAATTAAAGACATCTCCAAATGTATTATGACTAGTAAAAACTCAGAGATATCTCTAATTACAATTGTGATGAGTCAAAACTCATTTAGAGATATCTGCAAATATTTTTCAATGGAAGTCAATGGAGGAATAGGACTAGTCATAATATATTTGCAGATATCTCCAATCTGATTTCGTACTAGTACAATTGTAATTGCACATATCTCTAATTGTTATTCTGACTAGTCGAATTGTAATTATGACTAGTCAAAATATAATTAGAGATATCTCTAAATATATTTATGGAGTCAGAACAAAGATTTAAATGCTAAAAAGGCTTGCCATAGAGAGCGCTTCTGAACAGCGCAGAAGTGATGACGAAAGCGTGCCGAGGCCCGATATGGTGTGAGCG